GCAGATGGTCACTCCTCCCTCTCCTGGTTCTGCTGGACGCTTATAGTTTGTCAATAATTGACTTGCTTGATCAGAATCTGACAGTATTGTTCATAACTTCATCAAGTTTGACAAGGTCCTCAAAACTACTCACAGCCCGACACCATGACACGGCCTAAAGCTGACAGATAGCTGTATCACTGTTGTACCTCTCTCAAGAACGTTTCTGACATATTGATAAAGATTTAAATTTTTCACTCCATCAGACCTGTTGACACTGATTTAGAGCTGTTCCTGTGTAATTTGACACATCCTAGCCTTTTTCATCCCATTTATCTTCATTAAGAGAGGCTTTGACAGTCACCCTTCCACTGAGATTACATCTAATGAGGCTTCTGATGCAGCTCTCAAGCTCTGTGTCTATTTTCTGCCTGAATGTTTAACAGGTCACTGTGAAGTGACTTAAGCAACTAAACAACCAAACAAACAAAAAGCTAATTTCTCTAAAACCTTCGGGGGCAAGAACTAGACTGACTGAGTGAAAAGGCAGCAAACGTCCAAAGAAAACGTTGAAAGCCCTTCAGAGAGCTGAGAAATATTGCTCAGGGTCACTTTAGAAATCAGAAGATGTTGTTCAGTTCGGTAGGTTCTTTGGAAAGTCTTTTGTAAAATTATGGTTAAACATGTGACCTACAGTCTGACGTGCTGTGGTCAGTAAAAATAGAATCATGCTACATAAATGCAAATAATTCAGAATAAAAACAATCTCACTGTGTTGTTTTTAGCTTTTATTACCACATCACACAAAGAAGTAATTGAAAGAACAATCTGTTAAACATAACTGTGACATTTACATCATCAAGCGAGACAGAGTTTAATTCATTCATAAAAAACATCAGTGACAATATGTAAAGATAACATAAAATCAAACTTTTTGGATCAATCAACAATGTATTAAAGGATAACTTCTATAGAGAGTTATTAACAGATGGTATGATAAACAGGTAATATGATATTTATACATGATATACATGCTGAAGCTCAGTGAACTTCAAGTTTCATCCAGTCACACAGAAAGTTGTCCTCTTGGGGTTTCTGTGAAGTTTCTGAAAGACAAAACATAAAAAAAAATTTGATTCATGTGAACTGAAGCTGCTTTAATACAAACAGTAAAAACAAACGTCACATGCTGCTGGTTTGAAACCTGACGTTTGTTATTGTCACGGTTTCTTTTCTATCCAGGAGACAAAGTCGATACAAGAAAAATGACACATTTACATATTATCTAAATATGAAAACTGACCAAAAATATTCCTGCTGTTTTAAAATAAAATGTAACTGTTGATTAAGACGTCAGGTAGCTCTCCTTTCTTTAACCTGGTCCTGTGACAGAGTTTTCAGGAACCAACACCAACAGAATCATTTTCAAATGTAACAGTTTCTGTTTTGTATGTAGAAGAAATAAAAGAACAGCTTTTCATACAGACAGAGCTTTAAAGAGTATCAAAGAGAAACCCATACACTGTTACTGAACCACGCGAGTCACAGGTGAGGACTGTAATAACCTCTGCTGCTTCCCACAGGGAATTTTTAACTCTGATAATCTCAAAGGCAAAACAAAAGATTTTATAAGATCACCCAACGTTCATGAGACAGAGTTTAGGAAGTTTGACATTCACCTTGGTTTTATCCACATCCCTGGATTAGACGATCAGGGAAAAAACAACTTTTCTATCTCGAGGTCGATGTATAAACTGGATCTTCGTGTGTCGTCTTGTATCATTTCCACTGAGGTAACACAGCTCCATGGACCGTATTTATCATTTTTTAGGATTTGATTTGGTCAGTTAAAAATATTTAATCAAATTTATTTAATCAAATTTTCATGTTTAAATATTGGAAATTATTATTTTTTGCTTAAGAAGTCCAAACCGTTACCAAAATGATTTTATTGCCTCAACGTGACAGGATGTGGACTATGAACTCTGATCCAGAGCTTTGATTATCCAACAACTCACAATGGACATAAAGCAGATTTCCATTTCTAACATGCTCTAAGTTTATATCACAGCTTGACTGATCCTGGGTTATTCTGCAGTCCTCAAATGTGGAAAATTGGCAAATGCAGGTAAAAGTTTCCCAAATGCAGGCTCCATATTAACTGTCAGTGGTCTGTGTACTAAAACTTTTTCTTCTCATTGGAAAATGAACAAAAAGGTTCAATAAAGCTCGAACATGTTTGTCTCTCTGTGTGTGATGGAGATAACAGTCAAACATCTCCCCAGTCACCAGGCCACAAACACGTTACATTTGTTTTGTACTCACACTGACTAATCCACAGCCGCAGAGTCATTATGATGTTAAAGATGATGGTCTTGATGAAGATCACTCTGAGAGCCAGGATGGTCAGAGACATGAGGTTCACCTTTGGATCTGCAAACAGCACAATCAGAAAAATGTCAGCCAACAAACACAAACAGCTTCTTTCAATCCATCTGTTTAATCAGATCTAATACATACCTGGCTCCAAAACATCAACACATTTCTTGTCACCACTGCCTGGATCTGAAAAAAATCAAACAGATAAAAGTGGTAATTAGCTTCATTTCAAAGTAAATCTTCCTTTAATGCAGATTTATGCAGTCTGACAATCAAATACAAATATGTAAGTTTAGGATTAAAGGGTTATGTACACACTATATATAATATATTCTTATGGAAAAGTAAATTATATGATGAAAATAATTCGTATGAATTTCTTGATACTTACATTCACAAATCCTTGGATCCTTCCCTGGAAAAATCACCTGGTTGTACAGATCCAAGTTTGGTGATATTGCCACAGCTTTTGTCTCACTGAATTCCACGCTATAATTCCAATGATATGATGTTGCATTGTGTCTGCTGAACCCAGTTGCCAGGCACGCCGTATTGTTGCCTTCTCCCACTTTGAAATAGGATGGCTCGTACTCTGTCCCTGAAAAACACAAACGAACAACTCATGAACAAACTGGAATAACGTGGAATTATCTGCTTTCGTCTCAAAACCTCTGATCACTTGTTGACCAAAGAAACGAGGTTTAATCCAAAGAGACGAGTTCACTCACAGACACACTGTGATTCAGACATGGTCAAAAACATCTGAGCTGCCAAGATCAAACTCATCAAAAGGATAATCAGAATGATGCTGCACTCTGTAAAACACGGTTTCTAAACTTAGTAAAACTCTGCTGATGGTGTTTGTAGAGTTTTCCATGTTGGTAACACGAGAACACTTTCACTTAATGGCCTTTCCACTGGAAGTTTCTCCTGTGGATTTGTCTTCATTTGGTCCACAGCAGGAATTTACTACTTCATCACAACACAATTACAACTTCAGGTAGCAGCTGTTGTGACTCACACGAGTGGACATATATATGTTGAAATTATTTATCTAATATTTTAAGTTAAATATATATTTTTTACCAGCGTTATAAAACATGTTACGTGACTCAGTCTTTTGTTTTAAAGTAACTTGTTTAAAGTGCATTCATGGTGTTTGGTGCAGTAGTTTCATAAAAACAAGTTATTTGTCTGTGTTGTAGTATTTAGTATTGAATAAATATAAATCTGTTCACAAATACTGTACTCAATTAAAATATTATATTGGAGCTTTTTAGTTATGAGCGCCTGCTTGCTATGTATTTATACAAAAGTTTATTTAGTTTCAAAAATATTTCATACCGTGAGGTGAAATAATGGTCAGATATTACTTTATATTACATTAAGTGCAGAGTATTTGAGATCATATATTTAACTCAGTTCTGAATTCAGGAAAATGGAAAACATTTAATAATTTCATTAATTTTTCAGGTTATGTAGACGATCCACTTACTTGAGGATGAAATTAGTGTGATTCCTGATCCAAATATGACTTTGTAATTATTGTTATTCACACTGCAGCTAAACCAGTTACAAAAACCAGTGCAGCTCTTAACCATGTATATGTAAATAATACTAGTTCAAAATTTGGTTCCATCACCAAATATGATGATAAGTTAAAGTATAAACTAACGTGCGCTTAAACGTCTCACCAATTATAATAATAGTACGTTTAATTTCAGATCCTACACGGAGCTCGATCTGGATATTGTACTTGCTTCCTCTAAACAGGCAACGATAACAAATGTTCATGTTTGAAACTTACTCTTTAGTGATGAATCAGGATTTACGTTTGTTTACTGAGTTCTAATATTTTAGGATGTTCAAAAATGCTGAACGTGTGAACAGAAAAATAATTTACTAATGGAAACGAATTTACATTTAACAACCGCACTGATACGCCCACCCTGAACACTGCAGACAGATTATATGTAAACGCACTTACGTGACTGTACAGTAACTCTGACCCCAGAAGCAAAAACCAGCTTGTTGTTATTACTGTTCACACAGTGAATCAGTGGCATTCAAAAACTCAAACACTCCGTGTTTCACTCAGCTTCTGCTTCTTTTGCTAAATAAATAAACACATTTTTTCTGTGTTATATAAAATGTTTCCCATCATTACAACCTAAATCAGAAATTTAGAAGCAATAGTTTGGTTTACAGTTTGTGTTTTGCTGATCTGGAAGAGTTTGTTTGATTTAAGTGACATCATCTGTCCAAACAAAGACTGCTGCTCCTGTTGTTCCATCATCGCTCACTAAAATCACTCAGGTCCAATCAAATCCAAATTTTGTTGCTGTAGAAGCTTTTTTCTGAATAGCACTTTTTCACTCACTTGTTTGAACTCTCAGACGACTTCCTGAACCAAAAATCAGTTTCCAAGTATTACTCTTCACACTATGAACGATCCAGCAACAAAAACCTGCGATTCACACACAGCAGCAGCAGCAGTGGAGCCCAACAGACAACAAACTGATATTAACTGAGTCACTGATCATGTGTTTACACTTTCCCTTTTCCCCATAATCTCTACAATTTGCTTTTGTTAATTATATATTTAATTAATCTAATTGGGTAAAAGATCCTTTGAGGTTTCAGGAAAAGTATCCAGTGTTTAAAAGAAAGAAGGAAAAATCAGCCAAATGAAACTGTGAGTAAGGTGAAGCTGATCGAAGCTTAACTGAGGTTAAATGTATTTGTGTGATAAAAAACATGAAATAATAAATAACATTAAAAGTCTCGACCATGTGAGAAAATCCCAGCAGGTTGACTCTGTTCATCTGAGTTATATTTGTTTTCAAAGACTTATTTTTCATTACATTCACAGATGTGTGTGTGTGTGTGTGTGTGTGTGTGTGTGTGTGTGTGTGTGTGTGTGTGTGTGTGTGTGTGTGTGTCACTAAGTGTGATAACAGAATTATCTTTAGAAAATTATAGGATGTTTTGCTCATGTCATTTAAATCTAACATTAAAAGAATGATAATATTTACATTTTTAAAGTTGCAGATGCTGATGACTTCTCTTCTGTCAAATATGTGAAATTGGTGAAGTCGTGATTATTTATAATTTTAACAGTGTGAGATGTACTAAACATCGAACATTGATGTGCAGTTTTAATGAAGGGAAACTCTTACTCTGATGTATTTTCAGCTCAGTTCCTCGTCCAAAGATCAGCTTTCGTGTCCCATCATTCACACACTGACTTACTTCATCACAGAAACTGAACAGGTCAAAGTGTCGCCTGCTGTTTATGGATCGAGGACATTTAAGTGCAGACGTAGTCAGAACCAGTGTCTCTGGCCTGCTTAAACCTTAAAACCAAACATTAAGCTGCCATGTGAATGAAAAGCATTATTTAAGGACATTAGTTCACTCACTCGTACCTCGCACCCTTAAAGCTGCACTTTGTAACTTAAATGGTTATATAGATATACAGTGTTTGGACTCTTAGAATGAACAATAACTATCAAATTAAAATCAAATTAATAACTAATAACTTCTAATAATGCCTCGTTTTTCTTCTTCTCTTGCAGTAAACATGACTCACTCACTGTCAGAGAGGATGAGTTTCATTCCAGATCCAAACTGTAGTTTTTCATCAGCTGATGAGAAGACTGATCAATAACTTATCTACACCTTACAGGACGTTTGTGCTCAGTGTCATTTTTCTCTGCATGTTTTTAGATAAATGATCTTATTAAAAAAATATTATTTACTCAAAGTCATATTGCAAATGTAAAATGAGAAGTGTTCAGTGATGTTTGTGTGTTTCATAAACCTACTTTTCTCTATTTTCAGCTCGGTTCCGTCTCCAAACACGAGTTTTCCCGTCCCATCGTTCACACAGTGAAACCCTTCTTAACTTAAACTCAGTAATCAGCTGACATCTTCACAGTAACTAATAACATATATAATTATAAGAGTAATGATATTAACAGCTAAACACGTTGGATCAGTCGTGTATTTACCTCAAATTTAACCTAAAAGACTGAAACTCAGTGGTGATAATCTTATTCATCAACTTTGGTTTGCAGATGAAGCCGATCGTTTCAAGATTATTTTGGGTTGTTGAAATATTAACTTGTAAAATCTCTTAAGAATACAATAAATACAGATTACTCCGTGTTGTGCTGACAAACTGTGGCTCTGTAACAGACGTGTTAAAGTGTAATAAGTTCAAGAAGACGTCAGGACAACAGAAAAACGGTTTCAAAGACAGAAAGGACCATTTAGTTCTGAGTCATGATTAATAAATGACAAATGGCTCACGAGTTTGAATAATCAGCCTGGTTCCACCTCCAAAGTGGAGTTTTCTGCCTCCAGAGTCAGTCACACTGCACGCTGCTGCAAACCAAAAACCTGAACTACAAAACTGCATTTAGTGTAAACGGTTTGTTTGTGACAATAACTGCTGATAACTCAGTGAAGTGTTTCTTACATATAAACTCAAGTTTCATGCATTCAGTCATGAAATTATGAAATTTTGTCGAAAGACTTCCTTGAATACATGAAACTATTGTAATGTTTCTTTTAAGTGACTGCAGGCACTTTACATTTACTGCTGAATTATGACTTTTTTCAATGGTTGGAGTTTAAAGCATGTTTTTGTGTGTAATGTTGTAGAGTTAATCTGAATGATTGCTCCGCTGTAATGTTGTGACTGATAACTTCGATACACCATCTTTGGATTATGAATAAAAGGAGCTTACAGGCATCAACTGTGAGTTTGGTTTAAGAGAACAAAACCCCAACAAAGTAAATCACATCTGCATCTGATGACAATAATTCACCAGCTGATGTTACAATAACAGCTGACCTCACTTTTACTTAAGACTGAATATTAATGTAGTAAAACTACCTTCAGTCCCATCTACAGTTCAGACTTACTGGTTTCTACATGTAGAGCTGTTCCAGTGCTGAACAGCAGCTTCACGCCGTCATTCACACACTGAGAACAGACTCAGCAAAAACCAGTGAGGACTCAGCGAGGGCGAAATACATGAAACCAGTTTAAGGCTGGACTTTTGTTCCTGTGTTTATAAAGGATTTAAAGCGACTGGAATTTAAAAACACATAATGTTACCATAAGGTAGACGTGGCAGACACAATGTAACTGTAATTACCAAGGTTACCAAACCTCCACGTACTGAGCTACTCCTTTGGTTAAACAGATGGACTTACTGAAGCCTTCACCACAGGTGAGTTTATAAAGCCCAGAGTCAGTCACACACTCAGAGACTGAAACAGCACCATGAAGTGTGATACATGTAGGGGCCCGATGAAGAATAACCACAGAGACATGTTTCTGATGTCAGTCATAGTGATTTAGTTCATCGTGTTTTTGAATTATATTATGTGATAGTTATTCTCCTGTGAGAACACCATCAGACTTCATAAAAAAACGTAAAGTTATTCCTTTTATTTTTACATGATTTCATTTTAGTTGTTTTGATGGCTCAGCAGGAGAACAGCGAAAGAAATTAGGATTTATTTTAAGTCTTCTTTCTCCAAACTAACAGACTGGTTTACACACTTGACTCAATGTGTTTTGGAGTCAATTAATAAAAAAACTGTTTTTTATTAAAATGTTTTTGTTTTTAAATCTCAGAGTTAAACTGATTCTGTTAACAGCTGTTTAAATGTTCTGACGTGTGGCACGTTAAATCTACATGTGACTTTTATAAATCATTCTTTTCCAGCTGAATCAAACTCCAACACTGTCATCAACAAACTGTATTATATATCTGGAATATTTGAATCCGACTCACTGCTGTTCACAGTCAGCTTAGTTCCTTTTCCAAAGAGAAGTTTCCAGTTTGCTCCTGAGGCAGTCGCACTGTAGAGCTGATCTCAGCATTAACTGGAGTCAGAATCAAATCACTGATGATGGGACAACTTTGGCGTTTTGAACACTTTGTTACTTTTAGTACGTTTTTTATCTGTGAGACAATGAAGAGTAACAACATGCAGATGTTCTAGAAACAGACTTTGTGTCTATTTTACTTCACAGATATCTGTGGACTGCTGGTATAAACGCTGAGAAACGTCCGCTGTATCATTTCTGTTCCCTAAATAAAAACGACTTACTTGATTCAGTTCTAACTTTTGTGCCCAAACCAAAGACGACTCTGGAGTTTCCGTAGCCAGTCACACAACACAAAACACAATCACACAAACTGACTTCAGTTAAATGCATTTCCTGAGTGCACATGCCCACAAACAACATATTAACTCATTCATAAAATATATTTGGCTAATAATATTTTACTTTTTATTTTATTTTTTTACCAAATTTGGCTTAAAACGAAATATTAATATATATAAAAATGTAAGAGTAGCCAAAATCTACACGTGACAGTTATATGCAGGTCAGAGTGTGATGACCTGTATGTCAGGTAAAGATGAATAACATAAGTGATAATTACAGAACTGAAAGTTTAAAGTTTCTGTCCAAATAAGTAAAAGACAAACTCAGATGTTCACAAACACTCACCCGACTGAACTATGAGTTTACTACCAGAACCAAAGACCAGCTTGTTTCCATAGTTCTTCACACAGTAACACTAACAGTGACATAAAGAGACGAGCTCTGACACAGAAACTAAAATCAGTGCTGATGAAATGTGGAATAATCCAAAATGCAGGAATAATTTTCCATGTTTGGACTAACCTGGTTTTTATTACTAACTGTGGTTTGATTTAACGAACTGCTGGTAATAATTCCACTTACTGTCCATCACCGTCATTTTTATGCCGTTCCCGAAAACTATTTTCCAGCTCCCCGTCCCAGTCACACAGTGTGTGTGCGCTCAGCAAAAACTACCTGAGAAGGCCGTCGTCTGTGAGAAGCTGTGCGCTAATCAGTAGAGAACTGCTAGATTATTAGATTATCGGTTTGTGGTAATTTATGTGTTTTGTTTTATATCTTTATAGTTAAAAACCTCAACATAACTAATTATAACATGAAGAATATCATTAAACTGCAAACACATACAGAGGCTGAACTGTGTTTGCACAGATGTGAACAGTTACAGTATCACAGCCATGTGCCTGCTGGGTTTGTCTCTGTGTGTGATTGTAGGGTCTGCCTTACAGTATGAAGCAGCCTGAGGTGACTGTAGTTGTGATTTGATGCTGTATAAATAAAACTGAATTGAAAATTGAATAATTACAAGAACTGTGTTTGTGACTAATAATAATAATGATAATAATAATAATAGTGTGACATTGTTTGGGATGTGAAAAAGGACTTACTGGAGCTAACTGTCAGTGTAATGCCAGAACCAAAGCTGAGTTTGGATGATCCAGAGAACGTCACACTGTGACAGCTGTCAGCACTTAAACCCAGAGCTGCAGGTGAGCGTGAGTGAACGTCTTCACCTTTAAAGGTGTTTAAATAAATCATGAACGTCTTGATTAATCAAACTGCAGAATGAGTAAAATCAGTTGATTTAAAGTCATTGTCGACAACGCCACATAAAGGACTCACTTGGTGTTTAGTTGTTGCAACACGTGTAACTACTTAGGTAACTAAAGTACAAGAAAATTATTTTTAATTCCGATACTTAATATTTACTAAAGTTACTCACTGGTTACTATGGTTACTTTGGTCCCTTCTCCAAACAGGAGTTTGAAGCTCGTCCCTCCAGCAGTCACACAGTGGAGGCAACATGAACGTATTTTATATATTGTTGTTTTATTGCTGCTTCTCAAACAACTATTTAGCAAATTTGTTTAATCAAACTAACAGAACAGCAAAAACTTAAACTGCACTTACTGGAACTGACGGACAGTTTGATGCCAGAACCAAACAGGAGTCTGACGCCTCCAGTCACACTTGGAGAAATGCTACCACATAAACTCATCGCTGACACATGGAAGAGCAACAGGTAGTGAACATGTGCAGCATGTTTATGAATCTGAAAATATTTCCAGTATTTGAAAATGATTAAAACTTTAACACGGGTCCGTTTTGAGTTTGAGTTCTTCCAGATAATGATTGAAACATCTAAACTGCTCTGCTTTTCTAACTGTGGTGTCGTAGCTGAAGGTGATGTAATGGTCATTAGTGCTCTGATTAAGGACTTCATGTTAAGTATCGTATTAAATCAAAAAGCTGTTTTTATTCACAAATCAACAAGTAGCTGTGACTGCTGTGGGCTGTGTTTCAGTCCTGCACTGAGCTCTCCTTCTCAGGATTTCACAGTTTCATCACTTTAACAAAAGTACAGTACGTATGTTACAGGAAACAGTAAATATATTGTTTATATATTATTTGAATTATTTGGATACTCACTGGCTTCAGTGATTAATTTAACACCAGCCCCAAAGAATAACCTCCAGCTTGCTCCACTAGCAGTCACACAGTTGCTCCTCTCACACAAATAAGTGATCGACAGTGATGAACACTGAAGTCGTGATCTGTGAGCTGCATATATGGAAAAGCTCAACATGGACGCACAACATCACCAGTGCAAGAGATACCAGTGTAAGTGCACCAGTATCACGTATCCAATGCTCAGATAATAAATGTGTTTTTCCAAATGTCAGTTTTTAGGTTTGTGAGCAGCAGTCAGAGAGGATGTGCTCCAGGCTGAACGTGCACCACTGCTCTAACCCAAACTATCACTTTTATAATCTGTCATTTACTATTAAAGCACTTTGAGCTCTGCTGAAAAGCCCAAACAGAAACGACATCTTTGTGTGGACGCAACGGTTAAAAACAGCTGAATGTAAATGGTAAATGGCCTGTATTTATATAGCGCTTTTCTAGTCCCTAAGGACCCCAAAGCACTTTACATATCCAGTCATCCACCCATTCACACACTGGTGATGGCAGCTACATTGTAGCCACAGCCACCCTGGGGCGCACTGACAGAGGCGAGGCTGCCGGACACTGGCGCCACCGGGCCCTCTGACCACCACCAGTAGGCAACGGGCGAAGTGTCTTGCCCAAGGACACAACGACCGAGACTGTCAAAGCCGGGGCTCGAACCGGCAACCTTCCGATTACAAGGCGAACTCCCAACTCTTGAGCCACGATCGCCCCTGAATGTATCAAAGGGCTGACTCACAGGGAGCTCGTTTAGCATGTTATTATCTCATATTTCACACAGTGTCAAAGTACAAACTGACACTCACTGCTTTGTAGAGTAACTTTGGTTCCTTCTCCAAAGATCAGTTTGAAGTTTCCTGATCCAGAAGTCACACAGTGGATCTGCCCTCAACACAAACTGGCTGCCACTGCATACACGTGTGTGACAACACAACAACAGCTAATCTATACGTGGTTTTTCTAAAAGTAAATGTGAACAAAGACTTGTAAAATATCCACTTGTACAGGACATGCTGCTGATTATCTGTTTCCTCTTTATAAAGCTGGAAAGCAAAATGAATTTACTTAACTATAAATTTGAGGTTTTACTTGAACTTTTCTTTCAATAACCATATTTTAGAGGAAAATATTGGTTTTATAGGAGCTTTAATTATTTTTTTAAATCTAAAGATGCAAAATAAAAATAGTTGAACATGATGAAGTTTGTCTGTATACGGAATGATGAGATTTTTCCACCTGACTGTCTTTTCAGACCTGGAGTGAGTGTGTCGCTTTACAGTCAGACTGAGCAACACTGTTGGAGGGTTTATTATTTGATTTTATGCACTTGGTCTATAACAGAAATGATACTCACACAATTCAACAGTCAGCCGAGTTCCCTCGCCAAAAACTATTTTTCTGTTTCCAGTTCCAGTCACACAGTGCGCCGACGCTCAACAACAACTACGAGCTCACAGTTTCATGTGTCAGGACACGTGTGTGTGTTTCCCCAATGTCTGAAACATTTAGTTGATATTTGGACTCTCACAAATAATTATTCACTGAATGATCAAACAGTTTGTTAACACGAAACACTGGAGCAGCTGAATGTCACGCATCGCTGCCCCGTTAATTCTAAATGTTTGACACAGCAGCTGTTTACCGCGCAGAGATACTCACTCGTTTCTACCATTAGTTTGGTTCCTGTGCCAAAGACAAGTTTGTAGCTTCCAGTCAGAGTGAAAGATATCAGCACGGCTCAAACAGAGCTACAGTTGTCTGTGTGACATATATCAAACTTTACTGACAGACTGAACAATTTTACTTGTTAAAATTTACCAGTGAAAATTCAGTTAATAAAAATGATAAAAAATAAAATATAAAACTTTCATTGTGTCCTTCACAGAACGTTGATTTTGTTATAGAAGTTTAAATCATTAGGATTGGACGTTAAAGTCACTGCGATTAACATTTATAAAAATTGTTGTTTCATTATTTGATTTTCATCAGCGTAAAGCGCATCGTCATTATATTCAGTTTATTCTGATCATGGTTTATTGTACTGGTCTTACTGGTTTCCGTGTTCAGTCTGATCCCTGCTCCAAAGACGAGCTTGTTGTTTCTGTTTTCCACACAATAAGAAACACAAACTGACGGTGACGGAGCTGCTGTCATCCAGCACACCAGATAACATAATAAATAAATAGAAAATATACGTTAAACCTTTGAATTTCACGATGGATCTTTTTATATCTTTGCAAATCTGCTGTTGAAGGTTTTTCGCATTTCTAATAAAAGACTTAACTGTTAAAAAAGAACAGAACTCTGGAGATTTCATTTCACTTAATAATAAATGAACTACTGAAATATTAAAGTGATATGTGTTGAATAACGTGTATATTATGTGTGGCTGATGGAGTTTGGATCACGTGTTTGACCCACAGAACAAAGACATCCATCGTTCTTCTCATTCACATGCAGCGAACATGTTTGGAGCTCAAACCATTTAAACATCGTTTGTATTAAGTTTCTGTTTGTCTGAATCCTCAGGATTTATTTTTCAGTGACGGAGTTTCACAAAAGCTGACTTTCCTCCTACTTTAAACATTTATATATGTGATATATTTAATCATATGGACACTAATGATACCAAGTAACCTTAAGATTAAAATGAATTCAACTTACTGGCAGCAACATGTAGCTTTGTGCCTCCTCCAAAAATCATCTTATTAACATTCACACAGTTCAAAGCGCCAGTGCTAAAACACCATCAGTGCAGAAACGCTGCTGAGATGGACCCGGAAGCACAAATATGTTTTTCAAATATTTCAATCAACTCTCATTAAATCATCGTTAATCATTGTCTGTGCTTCTTTAAAAGAATCCCCATGGTAACGATGTTACTGATAAACGAACTGGACTTTTACTTTGGTTCCACAGAAAAGCTGAATTGCGGTCTGACTTTCTTTGTAGCATTTTTGAGCCCCTGAATATTGATTTGAATTCATATCATCACTTACAGGTTTCAACGACTAATCTGGTTCCTCCTCCAAACAACATCTTATATCCAGCATTCACACAACATGAAGCTTCACAGCACAAACCTCTCGTTGGGCTTAGACTAAACACTTCAGTGTCGCTGCTTCAATCAAACTCGTCAGCTTGATTATCACCAGTCATCATTATTTAGACAATATTAACGATCCTAACAATACTTGTGGTTACTCTTCATCACTTACTTGGATTAACGGTTAATCTGGCTCCCTGTCCAAAGATGATCTTACCAGCAGCGTTCACACAACATGAAGCCGAACACACAAACTGCACTGCAACAAGCTGACTTTAGAAACACTGTTTCTTCTCCTTTGTATTTCCTAATGCTCCTGTTTGCTTAGAAATAAAAATAAATTAATACTAAAAATTAAAATATTG